AACAAATACAATGGTTGAATATATTTGTTTTACTAAGAAGGCAACTGCAAGTTTTTAAAGTGTAACAAACCAAGTGCTTATGTATCTACAGGCCAGAATAATAGAAATCTTAATTTGCATTTCAATAGTCAGAAATATAAGGTGCGATGAAAGTGACTGCCTCCGAGCATAGGTCCAAACTGGGATCACACGCTCCCGAGGGGTGGCTTGTAACAGTTAAAAGAAAAATAAGCCCCCCATTTGCCACTTTGCTTGGAGTGATGCCGTCACAAGGAAAGGGCACAAAGCATTACAGGCCCTGGAACCAATTTCCCCAGAGCAGCAGCAGCTGATTGCTAAAAATGTAGGCAGTGCCGCTCAATGCATGGCCGATTGTCTGTTCCGCTATTTATTTTGTCATCTCTTCTTTATCCTTCCAGTGCAGTCTAATTTCTCCCTGACATCTCATAGCGTCTCTAATCGCACTCTTCCACCTGTTGTTTCCATACAGGCTACACAACTACCGTGTTTTACCCTGTTTCCTTTCGTTTGACCAGCATTTTAACGGACAGCATGGCGCAACAGAAAACTAAGCTAAAAGTTAAGAAAAGTATAGTCAAGCAGCAAAGCTCCTCTGAGCAATTTTTCACCGAGAGAGAGCAACACCTGAAGAAGGAATATGCCACCCTGACAGAGTATATCAAGGACTATTCAGATCGGGTGGATCACTTTCAAGATGAAAATGAACTCCTGGACAAGGAAGCCCAGGAGATCCAAGAAAACAACAAAGCTTACCTCACCTACTTAGCCAAACGCACCCTCCTGTGCCAGAATGCCATCATTACCTTAAATGACCAGAACCGATCAGATCTGGCCTCTGTCCTGAAACAGAAGGATGAGCTGACCTCTCAATACAAAGACAGAGAGAAGGAGGTCAGGAGCCAGTTGATTGAGATGGAGACCAAGTATTCCCTCATGAACAAGGAGGTTGATGATCTGAGGCCCTTCAAGGAGCTGCAGTCTGACCAGCTTTCCCGTATCTGGGAGCTGGAGAAAGAGCTGTTGGCCATGAAAATCCACCATTCCGAGCAAATGCACACTGTCAAGAACCAGTTCCTGCAAAAGAAGGCAGAATATGAAATGGAGTCCCAGAAGAGGGTCCAAGCTTTGGCCAAAAAGGCTGAGAAAGAAGCCGTGCGCAGCCTCATCCAACACACCAAGCAGATAAAAGCTGAAAACGGGAGATTGCGCAATGAACTGCTGAACCTCATCAAGAGAGCCCAGGGCCTAAAGGCCACTGTGCATCAGCTCCAGGAGCAGAAAGAACAGCTTCTTCAGGAGCTCCAATATGGGGAAGATTTGGCCCATGTGCACAGCTGGCTAAGTCAGCAGAGGAGAGCCAGGGGCAGGACCAGATTGCCTACCAGGACTCGGGTATGCTTTCCTCTCCAGCTATCCATGAACAAAGGGCCAGAATCTCTCACGAGTCTCCAAGGGCCAGCAAAGAAACAGTCAACAACACAGACACAGAGGACCCCGAGCGTGGGAGACACAAAGGCTCCCATAGCACACACGGCACAAAGGCTCCCGTAGCACACACGGCTTGCATGGGGGGCTTTAATGGCGACAGCAGGAAGACAGCTGGAGTAGCCTTGGCACGGCCCCAGGGAGGCAGCCTTCACGCTGCCTCCCTGGTGAGGGAGAAGACGAGTGGGTAGCGTTTCTCTGCCTTGGCAAACTGGGGTAACAGGTGTGTTCTGCTTTTCACCTTTACAGCTAAAGTGGCTAAAATAAAAATAAGAATTCCCAAACCTGCGGTATATCATTAGTGATGGGATTAATTCATATAATTGGGCACCTGCAGAGGGGTAAAAAAAACCAGGAAGGTCTATGTGCAATACTTTTGTGTGTGTTGGGAAAAATAATTTGCACACTCCATTCGGTCTCTTAAATGTCATTTAAAATGGTAAAATTCACCAGATCTAGGAGCTGACAGCAGTGTTGATTTGTGGTATCGTAATATGGATTTGCCTTCCTTGGGCTCAAATTGAGATAATTCATTTTTTATTGTACAGATAGTCCTTCTTATTACTCATTTTATGACCATTCAAAATTGCAGCAGAAATTCAAGTCCAGAAAACACACAGATGACAGATTCAGCTGGATCGTTAACTTCTTTATAAACATAATGAGTATACCGTTTGTAGATTCTTTCAATGTAACGTAAGGCAAACAGCAAGCAGAAGCTCCCAGCAGATATCAGTTTCAGCAAACAAGCAAGACTAGTTTCACTTTCAATTCTCAGCAAAGCACACAGAGCCAAACCACACCCCGGTTGTCAGCTCCCGTTGACTGGTCTGTTGCCATGCTTACTTGCTTGCTGACTTTGTTAACTGTGTCTCCATCAGTTAATGAATATACTCTGATACAAATTATGGTCACAGAATCGATATTTTATCACCCATAAATACCTCAGCCATAGTAAATGGCCTCATCTGTCACCTTTTACTAGTTTCCAGCACATTTTTTTTTTTGCTGCTTCTGGCAAAAAGCACCCATTCGAGCCTTTAACAACTGTCACAAAACAGGCCAAAACATTTATTCTGGTCCCATGGCTGCCTCAATTTACAATTGTATTCCCAATCTCAATTATGATCTTAAGCAGAGGGTTACCTGTATCTGAGCATTGACTTGATACCGTTTTATTCATTATGAGGGCTATTAATGACTAATCAGATCTATTGTGGTAGAATTGATACTCATCTGATGATGCATTCCAGTCTGATACAGTTCTGATTCCCACAATACAGAAGAAAAAGGAACTGTAGACAGACGAGACTCTAGAGAGCAGATTGCAAAGACGTGGTTCTGTAAGGTCTTAGAAAGCAATGCTACGGTACCAGTTTGGTGTTGTGATTTGAGAGATTGACTTGCATTAAAAAAATAACCAAAACCCCACATAATTTATCCAGAGTTAATTTTGCTACACTGACTCATCTTGTTTTTGGTCCAGTGACTTTCTGAATAGATTGTTAAATATATATATGGCATTCACCAAATCTTTTCATAAGTTATTCCATTACATGCTGGTCAGCAAATTTAGTTAAGCACCAGCTGGAGGGTTTCACCTCTTGAGTAGCTGCCTCAGAGACCTTAATTGAGGAGTGCTTAAAACAAGCAAATCTAATCAAATTGGAGAAGTTACTATGATGAACAATGAAATAAGATTGGTTTGGCATGATCTGTTTTAACAAACCTGTGCTGACTGCTAGCTATTATTTTATTTGTTTCTAGATGTTGGCAGATCTGTTTTTTATCATCTTTTCCAGTATCTTCCTGGGTATTGATGTTAGGCTGATTGGTCTGTAGTTTCCTGAGTTTGTTTTTCCCCCCTCTTTTGAAGATGGGAACCACATCAGCTCTTTTCCAGTCCTCTGGTAGTTCCCGGTGCTCCAGGATTTTTGAAAGATATGGTGCAGTGGATCTGAGATGACCTCTGCCAGCTCCTTTAAAACTCTGGGATGTAAGCGTTCAGGCCCCAGTGATTTGTGTTCAAGATCAGACAGGTGTTCTCTTACTATTTTTTTGTTTATTTTATTTCTGATCTGTCTATTAGTTATGTTTTGGTGGGTTGAGCTAGTTTGTTTTTGCGTGAAGACCGAAGCAAAGAATGAGTTAAGCAGCTCTTTCTCTCTGTTGCCTGTTACTTCCTTGCCATCTTCTCTCCTTAGTGGACTGACTGCTTCCTTGATTTTTTCCGTTATTTATATGTTGGAAGAAACGTTATTATCTTTGACTTTTGTTGCAAGTCTTTGTTCGTTCTGAGCCTTTGCTTTCCTGACTTCCTCTTTGCAGATTCTGGCTATCTGCTGAAGTTCTTCCTTAGTGGTATGACTCCCTTTCCAAACCCATCCAGTCCAGGGCCCAAGTCCAAATCCTCTAGTTTTTCATACTATTGTGGATGTCTTGATGGGAAAAATACCTAATTTGCAGACTGCGCATTTCTAGAAATAGGCTAGAGCTAATGGAATTTAACATATGGGGGATAATCACTATGGAAAGCCAAAGCAATATTTACATCCACATTTGAAACTAAAAAGAATTTATTAGTATTTCATAACATATGCTTGATTTGAAGCCCTAGGAGAAAATGAACATATACAAATACATTTAAATATGTGTAATATTTAAACATACAAATAACATTTAAAAGGCTGAATTATGACAATGGTTTTTCATCGGCCTCTGTCTCCTCCTCTACACCAGAAACCTCATTTTGCGAGCATTGGTCTGGAGCTGCCGCACCAATTGTTCAATCAAGAGCGGGAGGCGAAGTCCACACTGAGCTTCCTCATTATGGCTCCATGGCTCAGGCCCTGCTGAGAGTGCTTCACGGAACTGTAGTTTTCCTTCACATATTTTGCAAATGGAGCGAGTGGGGCTTTGGCTGGGGTGCCGTCTTTGAGCTTGGGCTGGCGAAGCTCCAGCTGCCCCTTGCAAAGAGCGCAGACAAAGCGCTGCGTGTCGAGGGATTTGGAATGGCGCCCAATTCTGAAAGGCAAACACAAGAGGTGTCTTTGAAGACAGAAAGCTGCCAAGGAAAGGCGAAGGTGACATGCATCTACAGCCAAAATTATAGAAGCAAAATCTTCAGGAAAGAGGTTTATTATTTGACTGAGAGCAAACTATCATCATCTCCAGCATAAACAATTAATGGCCATCAAAAACTCCATACACAATTCTATCTTGAAAATACAGATTGTAACCAAGAACCATGGTTCAGGCTCACATAACCTTAATACTATCTTAAGACAACCTCCTATAAAATTCTACTTCAGTGTACAGGTTTTCCTCAGGTTACACAGCTGTTGGGACCAAAATTTCCATCTCCATCCTATGACTGCATCCCTTCGCGATGACAATTCCACCAGTCCCAGCTGCTACTATAACCCCAGGACCACACAGGTTAAGCGACTGTGGCGTGGGAAGAGGCAGGAGCCCCAAACAAAGCAGGCCAGTGGGCCAGAGCTACAGGTGAGCAGGCAGGTGCCCAGAGTGGGCACTATGGAGGGCTGGACAGTATGCAGAGCATGGACAGATGGGTGCCACAAGCGGGAACCAGGTGGGCAGAAAAGCAGCCAGGGAGCGAGCAAGCCACCTCATGGAATTCTCTGGTCTTCAGCCTTAAAACTACTGCAGACAACACTTGTGGCTCTCTCTTGGATTCCCCCTTGCCAGCAGTTTGCTGACTTCAGGTGAAGCCTTTGCCTTGAAATTTTCCAAGTATTCTCTTTCCCATATGACATCGTATCTCAGCTGTGCCAAGTATTAAAAAAAGAAAACATGTTCAACATGGAGCCTCTTGTAGATAAGGCCCATAATCTCCTGGATCAATTCATGGGTTGGACTCCTAAGCTGCCTCCAAGTCCAAAGTTAGAAGTGTGGCAGGATCTAAAGGGGGTTGATATTGGAGTGTTCCAGGACCTAAAGCCTCCAATCTCAACCCCCTTTAGCTCCTACCAACACTTCTAACCATTTCAGTAGGTAGGCGAGAAAAGGATCAAGATACCCCAGTTTCAGAAAAGCAAATGCATACGTTCTGAAACATTTAATCATATTTCAAAATTATAAAACTGAAATGGACTCCATCTAAATTTATTCATCTGCTAAATAAAGCAGATGAGTGGAACTATTGGGAGAATGGTTTAACCAAACGGCAGATGAGGCAGCATCTGTGAATTTTAAAAAAAGAAAGAAAAAGTACTGCTAGGCGAAAGGAAATTCTCCACTCACGTGTTTTTGCACTGTAAGCATTCATAAGTAAACTTGTATTTTATCTCATAGTTGTGGCACCGTGAGACTACTGGGAGCTCTGGATGAATCATAGCAGACTTCTTGGCATATAAATTCCAGAATCGCCCGTGCCCATCTCGAACACCGTGGATCAACCATGTCGCTGCATGACACAGTTCGTGGATGAGAGTATCCCGAAGTCGATCTAACCATGGCATGAAATAAGAGAACAATGAAACTTGTCTGTAGGTCTGTATGTCATGTGCTTTGCTCTGAGACTAAGTATAGAATGTTAACTTTGTCAGGCATGGAAGACCAGGACCTCGCATGAAGTCCCAAATAAACTGATCTATTATTACTCATGCCTCAGCACAGGAATCTACTCAACTAATGCTGTCAACAGAATTCAAGAGGTTGGGCTTGGTTTGTAGCTACATAGCAACTCGAGGCTGATTCCTCTTTTGACTCCGCCCCCCCCAGATCCCGCCACTCCTCCTACGATAATGTTCCAGCTAATGCTTTATTCTGGAGCGGAACACTTAGCCAAGAACAATTAAAAACCACCATATAGGATATGTGAACTTATAATAAAAAGGTAAAGGCTTCTCCTGTCCAGTTGTGTTTGACTCTAGGGAGGGAGCGTTCATTTCCGTCTCACAGCCAAAGAGCCAGCATTGTCTGAAGATCATGTGGCCGGCATGGATATATGCTAGAGGCGCACAGAGCATTGTTACACCTTCCCACCTAAGTGGTACCTATTTATCTACTCGTGGTTGCCTGTTTTCGACTGCTAGGTGGGC